CACACCCCTCCCCCCAACTCCACCCCCACCCCCACATCACTACCCACACACTTCTTTAGGTTTCTTTCCTTCTCAAGCAGTAGAGACAACAAGCCCTAATGACTACTAGACACGTTTGTAGACTGATAAGCACTTTTAACTTTGATATTTTGCTAATATCTTTCATATTCCTTCCCATTTAGAGCCATCCTCAGGTCATTAGTCATGCTTACTCCATGTCTCAATGCCATTTCTTGTCCTCTACTATCACAATCTAGCAGAAATACGAGAATGAACATGAGACAGGAAGTATTTTACAATTGCTTTCTGACAACATCCTTCCCTCTTGACAGCTTCCATTTAGTGCTCAATTAGCATGCCCTGAACAACATCACCTCATTCTGTATCATAAAAGAGTATATCATTACTACAACTGGTGTGACAGTTAACTCCGAGAAACCACAGGTTACGATCAGCAGTCCTGCTCCTCTGAAACCCTTGTCAACTCATATGTTAGGAAACTAATCCTTCCCTTTCTCACTTTACCAGTTTTCATCAGATTATGCCCCAATGTTACTCTGTGGCCGAACAGCTACTGGGTGCAATGCAAGGAGGAAGAGAAGAGAGACAGATGAGTAGAAGAGAACCACCTCAGCAACAGTCCCAGTTAAGCAGGATTACACAAAATCTCAATAGTTGGTTCAGAGTATTAAATGCATTCCAGGACAAAGGATGAGGTAGGACAACATCTGCGAGAAAAGCCTGGACAGTAAAATGCCTCTCTGCAGAGGTCAGAACAGCAAGCTACTGCAGTGGCTCTACTGACTGTGGAGTCACAAGCATTAGGTTGCTCTTTTCTATCATGGTAAAGATTTGCTGGTTAAGGCTTTTTGCAACTGAGTTCTTGCTCCTTCTGGTCACACTTAGCTCATCCAATATCTTCAGTGTGAGCTAAAGGGAGATGATTTAAAAAAAAACCCTACTTTACTGTACCCCTCCCCTTTGCTGTTCTTTAGGCACAGAAGAAAACCTTTGTAAAACCATTGTTAGCACAACCTCATTATAGTTCAGGTCCTTCCGCAAAACCTTTCTTCGTCACAAAGCCTGCAAAAATACCAACAGTCATCAAGTTTTCCTTGTCCTGAAACTTCTGTCATCCTGACTGTGAGATTTTTTCCTTACGCTTTCCTTCCAGTCCCTCACACCTATTGCTCCGTATTTGAGAAAGACCTTTATTGTTCTGTGCTTCTACCTAGTTACTATAAAGCAAGCTTATTCATTTTTATAAACAACCATCAGATGGATTTGGGAAAGGAGAAAAAAATCTTCAGGATCATTTCTTGAGTTACAGATTATCATATCTTTGTATGACACCCATCACAGCCTGAAGCATGTTTGACTAGTTAATTTCCTATTATGTAAAATGAGTGGATTGGAACAGTACAGGAAGTATCCCGATTTGTGAGGCAAATGGACATGGGTCATACAGCGTGACTAGTTGTAAAAAGACACATAGAGGAGTTGACCTTGTGAACACTCTATTGCACATGGAAGACTCGAAAGCGGTCACTAAAACAACATTCAATTTTTCAAACTACAGCTATCAAGCACACACAAAATTTTTTCTTTGCCAAACATGAGCGAGTTAAGCTGTAAAAGTACTTAGATAATAACAAATACTTATTACATAGCAGACCAAGGAAAGAAAACACAGATGAGGATTAAAAGTTGATCTCATGTCCCATCCTTCTTCCTCATCCCTATTCTTTCTTTATAGATTTAAAAAAAAATAATTATTTTTGTCATAATTGTAGTTCTTCAGGAACAAAAAGGCCAGGCAGAAACGTAAACAAAACTTCAACCAAAACCTCTGCAGGTGTCAACAGGCAGTTTTTCACACATACACAGTACAAATGCCATTGCAGCCCTAGCAGAGCAAGCCTGATGGCAAAAACGTTCAATCAGGGGAGGCTATTTCAAACATAATTTGAATAAACAATTTTCAACGGCAGCAGTAGCCTAATCACTTGCTTTTTTCCTGCCCTAGCAATCCCCTCCATAACAACTGAACAAGAATTTACATGGCTTCCCATCAAAATTACACCAAATCAAACTAAACTACAAGAGGAAGCAAGGAAAAGGCCAACTTCCCAGTCTGGTTCATCACAGAGTCTACAGAGGTAGAATGAAGGTATTACAGAGATGAGAACATGCAAGCAGAAATAGGGGCAGAGAAGTGAAACTGGCCATCAACTGTCAGAACTACCACCAGACACACCTCTAAGCTTAGATACCTAAAAAGAGAGAAATTACACTCCTCAGTCTCAGCAAGATTATTTCCTCAGAAGTCAGGAGAAAGGTATTTTCAGAATGCCTAACCCACTCCAGTTGTGGGGAACCTGCTTACGATGACTCCACCACCGGAAAGCCGTCTAATAAGTAGCAAACGTCACCATGTGCAAACTCTTACCCAACACTGTCTCCCAGATCATAGACTGAGGGCAGCACGCTGTGTAAGGCTGTCCATTCAGCATGCAGAACCAAGGTAACCCTCCAGGGAGGAACGCGTCTGAGTGACCAAGATTCTCAGATTTTATTGTGGTGTCGGTGATGCAGCTGCCTTGCCAGAGCACTGCTCATGTTCTGAATAACAGCCTGAGAGTGCCAGCACAGAAAATGGGAGACCCAGGCCTCCTGTCTTCTATCTCCCTGATGGAATTAAAATTCTTCAGAGAACACACTAATCACAGAAGAGTCTGAAAAAACACATGATCCATCCTTCAAATCATACTGGAGAAGCGGGGTCCACACTCAGACCAGAATTGAAGAGTTATAAAGCCTTACAGAATAGGACTGACTTGGCATTTTCATTATTCCCCCAAGAGAAGTCAAAAGTTCTGGTCTTTGCTAAGATTATTTCTAATTTTGATGCTTTTTATAGTGTCCAATGTACTGGACAAACATGGAGTCAAAGCCAAAACACAACTCTCCACTTTCCCAGACATTCTAACACATCTATTAGCTAAATCTAAACAGTCAAAACCTGAAGGCACTAAATGAATTTACACACTTAATGCGTTTTACAATGGTTGAAGAATTTACTTTCTCAACTATTTTCTTGGTCAGAAGGCATTTCAGCTCACAGACACCCTCTTTCAGGCGGGACATTAACTTTTTAATATCTTGACCAAGGGCCAAGGACCTTTTATCTCCAAGAGGAGATATAACAGTTTCTGCCACTGAAAGTTTAAATCAACAAAAACTTCCCTTTGCAAGATGAAAAACATCTTAAATGCTTGGGCAAAACAACACAACAAATCTAGGCAGCATAAACCAACATTTGTAACAACTATCTGCTGGAGAAGTGGACTGTCAAGAAAAAGGAAGATTTGAGCTATGAGAAGGAGTAGGAGAACAAAATACCTTCTTTGCAGTAAAACAAGTAAACGCAAACTGCAAGACATGTCAAGACCTCATACACACAGACACAAGAATACGAGATAACAAACACTCCATTCCTCATAACTAACTTTAATTGTAATCACTACTGCTCATCATCACAAGTACTGGAAGACTACTGTTAAAGGAGTAGAGTATAGTATTTCCACTAGGTGGCTAACTTCTATTAGTTGGCATAATAATTTCCCCTAATAAATACCCATAATTAATGGCTGCAGTCAGAAAATGGCTAAGGTTCCCCAGAAACACTTATTTGTACAAACTCCACATGCAATGCTTATTGAAGCTATGGAAAGAAACCCCAGACCTCCTTCAAGCAAAAGTCTATGACACAGCAGCACAAAGCTACCATGGTAATGCCTGACTGCCAGGACTAATTTCAATGCATAAAATAATTCCAAAATGAATTTAAAAATCTGCTACTTAATTACCATCTTCCCCACTGGGAGTGCAGAATTATTTTATAGTAATTCTTCACAATTAGAGAGCTCCACTGATCTGCTGTGAATGAAACTTCACCCAGTGGTCTGTGCACAAGACTTCAGGTCACAACCATGCATCCACCCAAAATGCAATGGTGGAAAGGAGCGTAAGCTAGAGAGTTTCCATCTCAAACAAAAAGGATCAAGAAAATATTTTAAAATCACCATTACATTTACAAATTAAACACTTCTGCTTTTGAACTCTGAGGCCATGAATGTCTTCCTGCTGTCACCGCTATAAATACTGGAAGTTATTAATCATATTACCTTTATTATTTGTAGCTGAACCCCTTCGTCTGTTTGAGGGCCTTGAAAACAGCCACATATTGTCTCTATAATTCTATCAATTAATTTTTTGCCTGGAGCTGTACTGTCTGGAGCATTCCCCGTCAAGTGCCCATATGCTATAAGTTTCTGGAGAGGAGAAAAAAACCCACATAAATAAGAGCTTAAAAAATAAGGTCAGCTTTTTTTTATAATAAAGAAATTCACTTGATAGCTGTAATTTACATAGAATAATTAAACTAGTACATTTTACTCCAAGGCTGATAAAACATCAAGGATTTTTTTTAAAATGTCCTCCAGATTTATTCAATTTTCACTCAGCAACTGCAATACAAAGTTTGTCAGCAAGCTTAACACTAAAGCTTTTGTTCATCAGTTAACACTGTTTTAAAACAAACAGAATTCTAAAAACTAGCTCACGTCACACAAGTCTTCATATGTAGTCAGCACACAAATGCTTTTAATACCAGATAAACCAGCTGCAAATGCTTTCTATTTAAGCTACTAGCTTGTCTTCCAGTTTAAGTGTTTTATTATCCCTTTCTCTCTCTAGGTCTTCGATACTTTGAAATGGAATTTATTACAAAATTAACAAAATCTTCTTCCAAACACTTCGGGCATGAGGGTACTTCTAAATCTCCATGGCACATCTACTTAAAACATAAACAGAGTAGCAAGGCATCCTAATGTGACAGCATGCCAGGCACGCATGTGCCTGTGAATGTAAATACATTAATGGAGTTCACTGTTGGGCTACTCAGGAGAAGTGAATGGCTAAATTCGATGCTGTAGAATTTGTTTTGAAAACATTACAGGAGCCTATGAGTTTTGAGAGACTAGACATCTCAAGTAGAAAATATTTTACTGCAATTACAAACAGCATAAAATGAATTTGATAAAGCTATACCTGCTGTGTTAGTTCAGCACATATACACACATAAATAGGTAGCTGTACACTAACATAATAGAACTGATCCAAACACGTAACTGTGGTAATACACACATACAGAAATAAACGCATAAATGCACTGCATAATAAATAAGACATACATTCACTTTTTGTGAGAAATAAATTCAATTTGGTTGTGTGTGCGATAAAGTAAAATAATAGAAAAACAATGACATTTGTTACATACAACTGTACTTCCCCTCCAAACCAACAGAATTTTATAGTTGACCATTAAAGTGCATCTTCATACAGACCTGTAAACAATCGAGAGATGTACTGACAATCCTGGGGCACTTGGACTGGCATGCCAATTCAAATGGTAGGAAGTATTTGTCTGCTTCAATGAAGCTTGTCTTTGATTTCACAGGTGGAAGAGTGCTTGAACCAGGCTTTGCTTCACCATGAGGGGGACTAAACAGAATGATTGAATTAGAATGCTGTAAGTGATCACACAAATAGTTCTCACCACCATAATGTTCATGAGTGAAATAAAATATCAAGAAAATTAACAGTAGGAAAGAGTAACTTCCATAAAGTTAACACAACGGTAACATGGTCATATAAATATTCTTAACAGCTTTGTACTTCATCTGTCTCAGGCAAATCGACCCATTTGCACACTAAAGTAGATATTCAGTGGGCCCTGCCAGTTTGAAGGCATAAAGACTTGTTTCCTTTGAAAATCGAAAAAGATTCCCCATACTTGGTTGGTGAAGACAGAGGGGAAGAAGGGAAATCTATTGAGTATCTTTTCAACATTAAATAACTCTGAGAGATGTCGAGTCTGTTACTACTAGAACAGATAAAAATACAACTTGCCAAAAATTTTAATGGCTCTGAAAGTTAAGAACAACTCAACTACTGTATTATGATAGGAGTTTGGTTCAGTACTCTAGACAAAATACATCTATTTTGGATATTAAATCATATCCGATCTTTAATCCTGGACATACTCAGGGGAAAAACAAACAAAAAGACACCAGCAAAAAAACCCAAAAAACTTTGTGCTATCTGTGCTTCAGATGACACAACAGAATTTAAGAGTTCAGTGGTTATCAATGTACCTCGTGGACAATGTATCTGAAATGACTAACTGCAGAAAAGTTGAGAAAATTATTAGCTGTTGAAGTCTTACTGCTTACAGCACCTTTAGAAAGGGCATGCTCATCCATACTTAGCTAAAAAGGACAATTAAGAATGAGTAATTTTTCACTCAAATGAGTGCATCAATGCAGCTTGCCTTTGACTCAAAGCAAGATGTTTGGATTTTTCATTTCACAGAACACATCATCATCTTTATATAAAGCATTCCTGACCTTTTTTGTGCACACATACGTATCTTTATATAAAATGTAAACTACACCGTCTTACATAGACTTGATAAATGGTATCTAAAAAAAAAAAAAAAAAGCATAACTTTGTATTCTGTAGTGAAGGATTACAAAATTTCTGCAGTAATTGAAATAGATCTTTACAAAACAATTGATTTCAAATCCAGGCCCTATGCTTTTGTTGCAAATTAAATTAGATGTTTCGAGGAATGCAGACAGTAGAAAATACATGTTTTTCATGTTGCTGAAGTAGAAGAATGAACTGCTAAGAGTTTATTATAAATCCAGAGAATGAACTCCCACGCATGATGGAGAGTGCCTTAAACTAAGCGATATGATAAATTATTGATTTCAGCTTTTCAAGTAGCAAGCTAGATTTTCCATGAGATGATGTTTAGTATCACATTCAAACAGCCCTCCTCGTTTAGGCTGCTTCAAAAGGGCACCTAAATTCTCAGTCTTAATAGTGAATATAGTTAGTGTTAAGATTCTACTTCCTAATAAATAACTTCTCTCTTGAAGGTTTAAGGATTTATCCCTACATATTTTTTTCCCTGAAGTAGGGCAGAGGTTTGTTTTTCTGTTGGATGAATAACTTTACTTATTGTCCAATACTGTTTTGCTGGAAACAGAGCTCTTTTGGACAAAACCTGTATCAGATAAGTTGCAGAAAAAGTACATGGTTCTTCTATGTTCTTCAATCTCTCTGAAATTCTTTGAGGAATGGAAGGGTGGTATCTCTTGCTCATGTCTTATGACAAGACTGTTCTTCATCTAGTGATTATGTCTACTGAAAACATTAAAATTAGGTTAAAAAGCACTCCAGAAATAAATCCAGAATTTTTCAGAAACAAGGAGCATACCACAATGAGATTCCGAAAACGAAGAATCCATGCCAGAGCAAGCAACTGCAGAAGCCTGAAGCGTCTCTTAATTGAAAGCTATTAAAAATGTCCAACATAATAAATATGGAAGATGATGCTCCATTTGTTTCTGGAAAGATAACTCAATAAGCTCATCACCTTGCTGATGATGGAAGGGAATGAGATAACAGGGAGATGGGAGAAGAGAAATCCAAAAAGTCTTTTCTTCTTAATGTCGGCAAAAAAATTACTTCAGCTGGGTGGGTATTTGTTTGTTTTGGGGATTTTTTTTTTGGTTGGTGGGTTTTTTCCTCAACAGACTGTGAAACCAGAAACTGTCCCTAACAAAACTTTCTTCCACCAAGGGATCTACGAAGCACGTAAATTATGAAATATGCTGATATTTACGTATCAGCCATAGAAACAGGCTAAGGTATGTATCAAACAATGAATTTTTAAAATTATTTTGGCAGCATTTGCTGTGTAATGGTTACATAAATCAGCTTGTCCTTTTCTATTCCATTCCCCTCCACCTCATTACCAAACACCAGTTCTGTTTAAAAACCAACCAAACAACAAAACAAAAGAAGCAGCTTTCCATGCAAAATTTCTGTGAGGTGGAAATGATCTGGTTTTCAATGCATTCTAGGTTAACTGTGAGATCAGTTTCACTGGAAAAAATTTAAGAATTGTCATTAGAAGTCCTTTGTTAGGGTATTCAAATCTTAATTACAGAAATAAGAAGCTGAAAATAATTTGATAAACTAAGAGGATTATCTATTCTAAGGCCTAGAAAAACAGTATTTTTCTACTGCATCTAAAAAATTCTCTACAGTAAGACAAATCTATTCACAGTTTGCAAGTCTAGCAGTATCTTCACAGCAGCAAAAGGCTACTGTCAAAATAAAGATGGCACTGAATAAAAGAACCCAAAATTTATTTAGAAAATGTACATAGGCAGGTAAGACATACACATTATACCCCCAAAATCACAACTGCAGACATTAATAGGACAGAATTTAAGCACCCAAAGTTCAGAAATGGCTGAACTATGCTTTTATAAATCATTATTGTAATTCAGCACTCTCATTAGTTTTAGCATGGTATTTAACTACAGGATCAGATATTACTTTTCCTTATTCCGTGTCCAGAATAAATATCCTCACTGAATATTTAATGTTTAGCATTTTTTTCTTATGAAGCTTCACAATGTGGACTTCTGCTTGCTTTATACTACTCTTAAGTAAAACCTGTTATAAAACCACATAATTACTTTCTGTCTGAGACTGTCTTGTGCTGCTTGGTGCAACATTTTCTGAACTACACAATTAAATTTTATTTTACAACCTTACTATGAGCCGATGGTATTGACTTTATTTTGCTGGTGGAAACTGAAGCACAGTGCCTCAGTCAGATGCATACACTAATTTTTACATGCCCAATTCGACAAGCTGTGAGACTATATTGCATTACATCTTCTGAACCAAAGTTCCCACTGGCTTCCTTTCCAGCTAGAAGTGCTTACATTTTCCAAATCAAAATTTGTAAATTTCAGCTCAAATGCCCAGGAGATGAAGCAGAAATCATTAGCAGCCAATTTTGACAGCTGTGGTTTAAATGATTGCCTAACCCAGAAACAGGCAGAACACAGGTCCCCAAGCAGCATTCATCTCCTTAAGCCATAAGAACACTGTCATCATCAGTTTCACTCACTGATCCCATTCTTTCAACAAGTGGTATGAACAGTCTTCACCACACAGCCCTAACTCATGGTTAGCGACCTACACTGAATGAGGAAGAAGATCCTGTGGAACATGTAATTAAATACTAATAATGGATTCCACAGTTTACCGATACTTAAAAATGTACTTGTTGTTAGTAGAAGAGTGCTGAATGTCAACTCTGGCATCAACCTTCACTTGTAGAAAAATTGCCTCCAGAAACCTACATCTATTCCTTAGCAAGGTCCTTTCCAGACATTATTTTTTCCAATTACACTAGTTTTCTCTACCTGTTCCTACTTCTTCATCCCACCCTCCTCCCCTTGCTTCAAGTCTTTTATTTGCATTCCAGGCTCTTCCCCCTCCTCTGAACTCACTTCAAGAGCCTTTTAAGCTCAGGCACCTCCACCAATACCTTCTGTGCCACCCACAAAGACCTTTTCTAACCTTGCTCCCCATTCCTACCCTCCCTGGACAGACAGTATCAGCCTGCTCCCTCTAAGCTATCTTCTGCCTCTACTCCCAGGCCCCACGCCTTGCACCAGAACCGCCAGCCACAGAAGCAGCACTTGTAGCGCGTTTCCAGATACCAGCAACCTTACAAAATACATTGAAAATGCTTTTCAGCGAGAACCCGTACTCCCAATGCAGAATAAGTATGGTACACATTTTAAGAAGTTAAAAGCACTATCACTCAATATGATGAACTATCACATACCTTTGCTTTTCTGTTTCAGCCTTTATTTCCTCTGTAAAATGAAACAAAGGCATAGTTATGGAAATGGTATCATAACCAGAAATATAAAATTAAATAACTGAAAATGATTGGAAAGCAAAACTATTTAGGCAAACATTTGAAACCAGGATTAGTTTAAAACAGAAAATACATGTTCATAAGCAGTTTCATAAGAGCTTCTACACTTCACCTGCACTGTTTGCAAACTGTATCAACATTACTTTACAAATCTATATTCAAAACTTAATACTTAAATTTGCATCTAGTCACGCCAGCTAAACGCCACATTCCTAGAATGTTTCTGCCAAGACACTGGCATGCTCTTTTCATAGCTCATGTATACTGAAATAATGAGGAAAACACAAATATTATTAAAACTACTATCTATAAAGGATAAACTGCTTGTTAAATGTAGATTATACAGAAAAACAACAAAGAAACCACCATTGCTGATTCTTACATGAAACCTTAATGACTAATAATTATCTTTGGTTTTAAACAGTGTTAGAAGCCACAGTAATGACTAGAGGGGAGGAAAAAAGTCTGTATTGCCTCTATTTCATACTATTTTAAAATATATTAAAGCAGAAGGACTAATAGTTTAACGCTGTTGACAAGACATTCTAAGTAATTTTTTACAATAGATTTTAAAAAATTTCAATTACTGAAACTAATTTTAGGAAATATCATAAATTTCAAGACTTTTGTCTTTATTTTCTAGTTATTTAGCACACTTAAATCATAGTGAATTCCATAAAGATTAGGATTTCCAATGTTGTAGGAATACAGTCTTGAAATAAAACGTACAGGATCGAGTATGAATACACACACACACTTTAAGAAATCATCTCAGGAAATCCATTCTAACATCAAGTCCTGCTCATGCACGCAAAACCACAATCAAGTAAAACCAACGTTTTACTTTGATTTCTGTGTATAAGCTTTAAACTTGTGGCATGGGTTGATTCTGACAAAATAATCATTTAATATTTCTAACAAAGCTCCCATGCAGCAAAAGCATACTTCCTCTGTGTTCTATCCCTTATTTATTTACCATTCCACACAGTCATACTGATTCACTTACATAACACAAGTTCCTACATTTGGTATTTTATCAGTAGTATTAGATAAGTTTACTATTAGACTTGCTCAACATCAAGAAAAGTGAACATATGGAGTGCACGTCAATCTAAAATCTAAGTCTTATTTCTGATATGACTGTTTACCCCTAGTAAAACCCAGAGGTTTGCAGGTCAGTGGTTCATCTAAGAAACAGCTAGTCCAGAAGTAATTCAAATCTGTGTTACCCAGGCCTAAACAAAACATGAAAATAATTCCCTATTCCAGATAAACAATATTCCTCAACAAGTAACAATAACAACAAGTCTTAATAGTCAGCAATGTTTCACGAAAGTATGCCTTCCTACCAGGTTATGACACTTGACCCATTAACTCACTTCAAGACAAATTCCTGACCGACAAGGAGGAGAAGAAACTCATTTCCTCCCTTCCAGCATCTTCATACCTTTCATTATTTTACCTCCCACCTTAGCATTCACACCCAGGAACTCTCCTCCCTGAGATGCTCTGAAGTCTGTCCAACAAATGTTTCCAACCCACAGATAAAACTACAGAATGGCTTCGAGTTCAAAGTTTCCAACTAAAGCAACAAAGCTGAGTAAATTTTTGCCCAATACCCAACTATTCTGAACACAGAATGAAATATTACTAGACTACAGAAACCAAGGGAATCCTAATGCTCTGCTCAGATCGTAACGCCATTAACAACAGCAATGAAATATTAACAAATTTTGCCAGTAAAATGACACAAGATGTTAGTGTCATTGAAAAGGTGGGGGGCAGACACCCAACACGAAAGTAGAAATCATGTCTTACTGAACTTGAATGAGTTTGAGTAATGAAAACTCCTTTAAATCCTCTTTTTTTATATATATTAAGTTTTTGTTTAAAATTATTAACACAAAGTTAGAAACCACTTAGTTATAAAATTTGAACTTTATAGGTCATGCTAACAAACATTTCTACTGTTTTATATTTAAATTATAATTCAAGACTATAATCCATTTTATTTAATATGAAGAAAGATGTTTCAAGTCAAGATAAAACAATCAATCAATGTCAACTTGTCATAACACAAATTTCAGCTTACAATCTTATCAAATTTTAATAACCTGAAATAAACACAATACTTTATTTAACAGTTTTACTTAAGATCATTTAGGTACAGGAGTCAACTACTCTGCTGGCAACACAAAGATTAGTGCATTTCAAGTTATTTTATACTTCAGCTAGGGAAAAAAAATCCCAACAAATACAGAAAAAGAATGATTTCAGACTATTGCTATAAATAAAAGAACAGAATGTGAAGCTCCAATTCATGTCCAATTCTGGTTGCTCTTCTCAGCCTGCACCATGCCACTGGAACACTAACCCCCTGAGGCTAACTACTCCCCCCTAGGGAAGGTGCAAATTATAGTGGAACTGGTTCATTGTTTAAAACAGAAACAGTTGTGAGTATTGAATTAGTGTGAAAATTGCTTAAGGAAGCACAAGTAAGCCAGTTCTCAGCTCCCCACTCTCTCCCTTTCCCCATGAACAACAGTATTTTTCCAGTAAAAGACAGCATGTCCTAAGCGGAAATATTCTTCTGGCACTACTTAAAGCAGATGTGAGAGCAGGAGAGTGTTCAGACACCCGTGTCAACTTTACAGGTTCCAAAACAGTGGTTAAACTGTACGCTTAAGCAAATTTCTTGAGCTGAAAGCACTGCATGAACAAAGACAGTCCCTGGCAAACAGACAAATATAAAATAACATTCAGGAACAAAGATCGAAAACAGCAGTTCCTCTTTGCACTAACTCATTTTACTCCTGAACTAAAAGAATGTACCAAACCCAGCTAGCTGTCATCTTGATGTTACATCAGATTATCTCTGAATTTATTTTCTGCTTTGTAAACTATAACAGTACTTGCAAAGATTACCAATTAAAAAAAAAAAAAAATCCAATCTGAGCTGCTTAGAGCCCCCATTCTGCTGCTGATATTCAAACAAATTATCACTATTCCTTCTTAAGATACGACAAGAGATTCTCTTCAGAAAAGGTCACAATAATTCATATCAGAAAATGGAATTTTTTTGTAATTGAAGGAAGTATACTACAATTACAAGGAAAGAGCTTATGCAAGTGTCAATCCAATTAAATGTCACTACCATTTCAAGCAACACTGCACCAGTCTATTAATGTGAAAATACAGATTTTATAAACTTTGTTAAATAAAAAGAAAGGTTCTTACAGTGGTCAACATCGATTATTTTAGAAGACTAAAATACTTTAAATGGCAGATAAACACGTGATGTGATACCATTACTATAAGTGAGGTAGACAGCACACTTAAACTCTAACCCTTGAGAACAGAGAAAATCTAATTTCCTTCTCTATCTGATTGCTCCCTCTGCTCTCCACTCCAAAACACAAGTTAATCACAGTACAATTTCATGGTCATGTAACAACCACATCCAGTAGGAAGCATACAAAAATTCAAGAAGAATTATGAACGAAAGAATAGATTATAGCAAAGGTAACTAACAATTCTCACGCTAGATAAATACTGTCTTAAAGACAGACAAACCAAAACACTGATTGATACATTCTTTTAAACGGCAAACAGTAATCCTTAAAAACCTAAAGATTAGCTAGAAAAGGGAGATGAAGCCAGGCTTGAAAACATCGGCTGCTTCCTTGTTTTGCTCTCTCCCTCTCCACAACACACACCCAAAACCACAAAGGAGAAGATCCAAGAGCAGGAAAAGCTTATTATCTTACCATCACCACTCATTTTGGGAAGGAAGAGTAAGAGGGGATATTAGATGCTGGAATAGGGGAAGAAGACTAGAGCTTTCAGAGTCTTCCTCTGTATTTTCTGTGATGTAAACACAGAATTACTATGGAAAATAGCTCAGATTATTCCATGGCACTGAAAGGACGATGTGTCCTAAAATGGAACTAATTGGAGTATACTTAGTACTCTTAAATAAAGTGCAGCAGAATTAACAAAATAAATACCTCCTGAACTCTCACTTTCACACAGACCTTCAGAAGACGACCTCTTTACAGAGCTCTAGCACAAAACTAATGGAAATATACGTGGCTTTTGCACACAGAAGATAGACCTGATCAAAGAGATGCATTACTTTCCAGTTCTACAATGGTATGCACAAAGCAGGTAAAATGAGTCAGGTACGTTAGTGTCATGATTTGCCATTTCATCTACATTTGTACAGACCATCACTTCAAAGACATCTCTGAAAAGGTCTAAGACTTTTGTTATACAGGTGTACTGGTTTTGGCTGGGATAGAGTTAATGTTCTTCACAGTAGCTAGTATGAGGCTGTGTTTTGAATTTGTGCGCTGACAGCACAGAGATGTTTTTGTTACTGTTGAGCAGTGCTCACACAGAGCCAAGGACTTTTTTGCTTCTCACCCCATCCCACCAGCAAGTAGGCTGGAGGTGCACAAGGAGTTGGGAGGGGACACAGCCAGGACAACTTACCCCAACTAACCAAAGTGATATCTCCCAGATCATATGACATTGTGCTTAGCAATAAAAACTTGGGAGGGAGAATTTGCCTGCTGTTGCTTGGGGAATGGCTGGGCATGGGTTGCCTGGTGGTGAACTACTGCTTTTTTTGCATCACTTGTGTTTCTTGGTTTTGTTTTTCTTTGTCATCATGTGTCCCCCCCACCCCTCGTTTTGGGTTTTTTTTCTTGTTAACCTGTCTTTATCTCAGTCTGAAGTTTTCACCCTTTTAGTCTTCCAATTCTCTCCCCAACACCAGCCAGCAAATGGCTATGCAGGGCTTAGCTGCTGGCCAGAAGTAAACCACCACAACAGATATCCAATAGCTCCATTCTTACCTCTCTAACTTTTAATTCACTGTTTCATTATGTCATCTGAACACTTTTCCTTACCTTCTTCAGATGAC